ATACGATTTGTAAAACTTTAAAAACAAAGTACTCTAAGGTATCAAATCTATATCAAATTGTTAGGGGCTCACTTGATCTAAATTCTGTATATGGATGAAGGGGGGAAGTATATAATTTCTATACAATAGGAGAAGTATAAAAAACTTTCCCTTTGGTTAAATGGCAGTGAATACTATCTTTAGCTGTGGTTTAATACAAGTAAAAGAGATATCATGAATTGTGATATAATGTACACGACCTAGATCTTAGTGTTTCTAAATAAGGGGAGTGATTTCATAGAATAGGTGTATAGTAATGTAACGAAACAATCTTGAAAACCTATGATAGGGCTCTTTAATTGACCCTATTTTTAAATATACACTTTTTTCATTCCAATGAACAATCACAAAAAAGTAAAATATAAAAACACACCCTGCAAAATATTTTTTAGCCCAATACTATAGGTTGTTTATTTTGATAAGATACTTAGTTCTAAACTTTAGAAGGATTTTTTTTCCTTTTCAAAATTTTTAGATGGATTTATCATAATAGATGAATAATAGTTTTTAAAAAAACTTGAGCTTTTAAAGGCCCATATCTTGAAATTCACTAAATGAATGGTCAAGACTCATTGTTGGTGAGTGCTCAATTTAACCATATCTAAGGTGAAAATCGAGTTTTTATTTTTATTTTGGGAAGAGAGTACTTATGTAAAATTTGAGATTCACATGATTTTTTAGAGGTATGATTTAATGATATGGTCACATGAGATCATTCCTGTCTAGATAAAATAGCCGGTGAGAATGGCTGAAAAACCCAATATCAATAGCAGTACTAGGGAGGGCCGATCCGATATACAAATGTGATATATTGGATGGGAAATCATAGAAGTAAATTGGTTATTATATTTTTAAGGGAAAATTATATATATGCCCTTGGACCATACTTTCTAGCCATAGTCTAATAGTCCCCCAGAGTTGTTTTTAAAACACGCAACTACCTGAATTACTATTTAATTTTGTAGGCACCCTCAAGATACCTTTGTTTTGGACAAAAATACCTCATGATAAAACCATGATTATCTCTCTGAAAAATTGCAACAGTAATTTTTTTTTTGTTAAATTTTGATATAGTTTCTCTTTCTACAAATGTTGACATGTTTCTCTATCTAAAATCTCGAAATCTGAGATCAAGGTTTAAACCCATGGATCAGTGATCCAAATTATTCATCGGAAAAATCGGTCTGGATAGGCGAATCGCAGTTTGGATTGGCCGAATGACCTTGCCAATAAAAAACTAAAAGAATTTTGAAGACAAAAAAAATTGAAAAATTTTTAAAATAAAAGTGGGACTGGTTCTCAAACAAAACCAGCTGGTTCCGTCAAAGAACTAGCTAGAATCGGCTAATCCCTATCATTTTGGAGGGAATAGACCGGCGTTCTTGATCTAAACCAGCCCGTTCCAGTCCGATTAACCCTTTATTTTTCAACTTAGTCTAAAATAATTTCTCTCCAAAAAGAGACAATTTGACTCTCTAAAATTTCAACTTCGAAGATTTTAGATAGAGAAATGTGGGTTATATAGAGGGGTTTTTATCATCCAAAACAAACATGCTTTCTTCCTTGTGGGGGTGATCACTAAAAAAAATAAGATTTAAGTTAATTATGCGACATTATTGAAAGGAACCAAACCTAGAAATTTTAGTCCAGGGGTACACATATTTCTCAGAATCTATGACGCTATATACTAAGAGAGAGAGAAGCATATTCCCTGGTCATCAGTCAGTAATAGGACTAGTGTTGTGTACTTGGGAACTTATTACGTGCCCATGAGCCTGCCTGCTTGCCTGCCTGCCTGCCTGTTAAAGACAGAGGGAGAGAGAGAGGCTACTAATCTGTCAGGTGCTTTAGCGGACGTGTTTGCGTCGCCACGAGATAGGCACTCAGAGAGAGAGAGAGGGGACTGAAGAGAAAGAAAGTGTGAGACGGTGGACTGAGAATTTAGAGAGAGAGAGAGAGAGAGGAGCCGGCCGAGTCAAATTTTAGAAAGAGAGTGAAGATGCAGAGAGTTAGAGAGAGAAAGAACATGAAGGTTGAGGAAGGTGTATCTGCGATCTTGTCGGCTGGGCTGGGCTGGGCTGGGCTGGGCTGGGCTGGGCTGGGCTCGGCTGTGCTGTGCTGTGCTCCCCAAGACAGTGAAGATCTCTCTCTCTCTCTCTCTCTCTAAGTTGATGGAGACTTTATGACCGACCTTAAACCCCGAAAAGGTCAGGGAATATGAACCCCTTTTGGAACCCATACATGATTGGTCACCGGTCAGCCTCGTCCCACATATGATTGGCTACCGGTCACCCTCACCAAACACAAGCCGCCCTAACATAAACATTACTCTCTTTCTCTCTCTACATCTAAATACACATGTAGAGAGAGAGACTGCACTTGATTACAGGTCCCTTCCGGTAGCCAATAGCGCGCCTCTCTCGCTTCCCAATACGCAGCCACTTACTGACACTCCTTTCTTCGCCGGTTACTAACGGTGCTTTTTCTATGTACCCAAAGTTAGATTCATGCCCCAACTACGTCCCAAAATTACTAACACGCCCCTCTGAGATTCATCACCCACGCACTAGGGACGACAACCGGTCTCGATCTGGGTCAGGGTCGACCCTGGACTTATTGTCTCATGGACCTGGGTTCGAACCCGAACCTGGATCCAAACCGGGCTAGGTCAAATTCATTTGGATCTTGACCCATCGTGCCCGATACATAGACTCGATCTGAGACCGACCCAACCTGATTGCCACCCCTAACCTTTAACGGTTTGAGGATATCAACGATTACTATACATAATTTGTGGGTGGTGTATAATGCACGATCGGGTCTAATACTGTCTGTTCTCAAGGTAAATGGTTGATATTTTTATGGTCGTTACATTTGTTGAAATGCAAAAATCTTTTTAATGAAATTTGGGCTGAAGCCATTTATATTATTGTTTATATTTTGAACCGGTCTCTTACTAAATCGAATAAAAAAAGATTCAACACCAGCATATATTCTACAATAAATATATTCTACAATAAAATGGAGTAGCAGAGAGAAGAAACAGAGCAATAATCGAAATGGTTCGGAGTATGTCAAAAAGGTAAGAATCTTACTAACAATATTTTATATTGACCGTCTATCTTCAGAATGGACAGTGCATGCCTCAGTATGTGTAGCCTATATTATATCTTATTCAAGGTGTAGTGTTTTAGTTTACAATTGTTGGAAGTTAGAAATTAGTTATAGACGTGGTTCTGATGTATGCCAGTGCATTCTTTCACTGATGATGTAAGTGTGGAGTAGGTCTTGAAAAGAGCTAAATTTTAGAGTTTTTGAATGAGGCAGCACATACCATGCACATATCGTGCACGCTGGGGTATATAGAGGTACCGAATGTATCGTCCGTTTCGAAGGTGGATGGTAAAGATGAACCGGAACAGTCTGCGATCAGTTCTGGTGAGTCATTCATCTCATGTTGATGCACTGCCTGTGTATATTGCATTGTAGTGTATGTTATAGTTTCCTTTGAGTAACTGAAAGATGCTAGAAGGTCTTTGGTAGTTCAAATTATTTATAAAAGACCAACCAGGGTAATAATATCGTTGTACAGTCCTGTAAAAGATCATGTTTTAGTAACGGTCAAAGAAAAATAAAAGATCATGTTTTAATGAACCTAACATTTAAGGAAATTATACAAAGCAAATAAATCTCTTGAAAGACGAGAAGGATATTTCTCTTAAGCAAATTTCAGATAAATATCTTTTTTTAAGTTAATGGGTCTCCTCTTTTTAAAAGAAAAGGAAAAAGTTTATATAAGGGTGAGGTCCTAAACAATCAAATTAAGGTGTACCTCCAAAATTCACTAGAAGAGGCTGTTTCGGTGCCTAAAAGCCCTCTAATCGATCATCTCGATCTCAAGATGTATGGACACGATAAAAACATGGATTTCAAGTTTTAAAAATAGTGCATCTTGTAATGCATTTTGTAGACCGTCAATTTTTCAAGGTTATCAAGCGTTTATAGATCTTATCGGATGTATACTGTTTCTAAAGTTTTGAATTTTATAATAAGATATGAAAATAAATTTTCAAAAGATCATAAAAATTTCCAATATTGAAATAACATCTTAGTGCGCCTTAATATTTAGGGCCCCCGCTCAAAAACAAATATCTTAACAATAACAAAAAATAGTTATCTTAAACAGGAGAGTAGCACCCTATAAGGTTAGCAATTAGCATGATGGGACTTAAGGCTTATATATTATACTAGTATAAAATTACCAAAATTGTACAGAGAGAACAAATCTATTAAAAGAGAAGGGGGCCATATCTCATAAGTGTTTTCAAGGATCCAATCGCAAACAAGCCCTCAACACTCCTATCTCGTTTTTATTCTTGGAGCAAGTATACTTTGGTCATTTTTAATCAGAAATTTTTGGGATCCACTTTGAATTATTTGATGATTGTTTTTTAAAAAAATGAAATTTGGATTTTGAGTTCTTCAACACCTAATCTCACCCTCAAAAAATTGAAATGGCTCTCTTGGGATTTTTATCTTCTTTGGTACATAAAGAGTGAGTAAGTTTTGTGTTTTGATTCGTAATTTTTTGTTTTTTTTTTGGTGGTAAAAATTAATCCTAAATTGGGGTTTTATTTGAGGGAGTAAATGGATGTTACGCTTTTACAGTTAGTTTTTCAAAAACTCAGATAAGTGGGGGTAGATCATCCATCCCAAATATTGAGGTTAGATTGCCAACAAGTTCAGTCCAAATCGGTGATACATAAAACATTAGGAAATAAAAAAAATTTAGAAAGAGGTTTATAGGTAGTAGTAGGTGAATTTAGGGAGACCTAATTAAATGTTAGATAAGTTTATAAAATGCCTCCTAGGGGCGTTAGAAGGGACATGGCTATTTTCAATACCTTCCCAAAACCAATTTAGTTTATGCCGATTCGTAGACCAGATCAGCAATTCCCGATCCGATACTCCAAAATTTGAAAGAAGGAAGATCATTGAAAGAGATTCAACAAATATTGTAGCAATGGGTAAATGAGAAGCTAGATTATATTGTAGACTATCCATAGTTTTTTATGAAATTAGAGATATTCTTGAGACGCTATAGGTTGAAAATACAACATTATTACTGCGAAGCAAATTCTGAAGAGATTCATTAGCCAAGACAAGGGTGGTGCTCATCAATCTTCCTTGGTGATTACCACATTTTTGTGATGTATTTTTCTCTCCTTTGTGATTCCACCCCTTATATTGTTAATAATAGTTATGTGCTAATGTCTTTTTTTTTATAAAAAAATAAAAAAAGAAAACAAAAGAAAAAAAAAACTCATTGTTTCCCCTAGGGCTCATGCGTGTTTATCTAAAACTTCCGGGCCAAATGGGTAAAAGAAAAAATATTCAATTTTAGTCCTTTACTACCAATGTAAGCTACCTCCCTCGCTAAATACATACTATAAATAATCATAAGCTGCACTGTCTTCTCTCTCTCTACCCCAAAATCAAAGAGGAAGCAAAAAGTTGAAAAAGCAAAATAAACCATGGATTTGCACCCCCACCATTCACCCTCAAAGGCACAGTCTCTCTTCTCCCAATCCCAAAACCCAGATACCGCAGAAAAAGAAGCTCAAAATCTATATTTCCGAAGCCAAAACCATGTTCCTACTGGTCAAGGACAAGGGAAGAACAGGCGCTTCTTCTCTTGCCTCTATTGCTCTAGAAAGTTTTGCACATCTCAGGCTCTGGGGGGCCATCAAAATGCTCATAAGAAAGAGAGAGCAGCAGCTCGAAGAGGGATTACAACCGTTGGATTTGAAGGGAGATCTCATGTGTCGCAAGGGTATCCGTTGATATGGCCTTGCACATGGCATGTGCACCCTCAGGGGCATGAGGGTTTGAGCTCTTCCACAGTGGAACTCGCTGCTGTTTTAGATGCTCCTCCTCCTCCCCATCTTCCTACAAACAAGAGTGTGGATCTCGATCTCACTCTGCGTTTGTAGTCTTCTCTCTCTCTCTCTCTGAGTTTTCGACCCTGGACTGCACTCTGAGTTTGTAACCCTCGACTGCACTCTCTCTCTCTCTCTCTGTCTCTCACACACACACACACACACACACTCAGTACACCATTTTGTTTGGGTAAGTGATCTACACTTTTTTCGTTTTATTCTTCGTAGTAGGTCTACTTTTGGTTTGCTTATCTCCTGTCTGGGCAGAGTTTGAGTAGAGGTTTCCTTATGCATCGTGTTTTCCGCCTCTACTTTCTTTCTTCTCTCACATTTCACTCCTTTTTTTTTCCTTTGTTTAGTTTCATTTGGAGCTCAGCACACATATCTTCTTCTTCTTCTTCTTTCTTTCTTTTTTTTTTTTTTTTTTTTTTCTAGATATGCGTTGATTTTATTGTAAAGTTGAGAATGGAGATTGATTTTGTTCCAGTTTTTCTTTTTTCTTTCCTTAAATGTAAATTTGGAAGGAAGCAAAGTTGAACAGAGAGATTTTCGCATTTGTGAGTTAAATTGTTAGAGAGAGAGAGAGAGAGAGAGAGAGAGAGAGAGAGAGAGACAGTATTGTCGTTGGTTTGGTTGTTGTTGTGTCTACTACGTTTAGTTAACCTAAATATTACTTAGTAGTATAGACTAGTGTAAGTGTATCTACTAACTACT